TATGTGGCTGGTGCCTTAGCCACTTGAACCACAGGCGCTGAGCCAACTGGATATTTTCTAATTATTTTGGAAATTATGACTGTCTCCAGTTCCTTGATTCACATTAGCATTTCAAAGGCTCTGCTAAGTCCTGCAGTAAAGAATCTTGATTCACCCAGCAATGCAAACGTGTTTGACCATAGAGCATCCTTTTTCCAGTATACCTGGTATGATCACCAGTGTTCCAAGGACCATGGCTTAGGAAGACAGTTATAATGACTGGGTTATCTGAGCAGCATAAATCGATCTGAAATTTAATTTAGGAAGAGTCTGAAGGTGACACCTTCTATGCAAGGACCTAGAAAGTCTCAGTAGGCATTCTGCCACAATTTGGCTATTAACTTGCCTGTGTGTTTCCAGGTGAGTGGGGTTGCTTTTCCCTAAGACATCAATGCTCATATGTTACTGTGGGCCGCATGGGAAAACAGAGAGGGAGGCTATTATGGGTGGATCTATGTTATAATGGCGGCTATGGAAATGTTCGGGGTGTACGAATGTGTGTGAGAGAATGAATTCCTGTCTTGGGGAAGGGCTTAAATCCCACAATTTCTTGCCAGGTCCCTTATCCCTCTGTACCTCAGTCTTAACATCTGTGAAATGGGGCTTCTGGAGGAAAGGGCTTGAGACCACCTGCAACAGGCATTGAGCAGGTCATCTAGCACCTGCCAGGATCTGTTATTTCCCTGGGGACCCTTTTTTTCTCCTAGCAAGAGCAAGGTGAGCCACCCACTGGGTTCCTGCTCTCTGATCCCAGTCTTTCTTTTTTTTTTTTTTTTTTTTAGAGACAGTCTCACTTTGTTGCCCTTGGCCAAGTGCTGTGGTGTCACAGCTCACAGCAACCTTCAGCCCTTGGGCTTAGACAATTCTCTTGCCTCAGCCTCCCAAATAGCTGGGACTACAGGCGCCCGCCCCAGTGCCTGGTTTTTTTTTTTGTTGTTGCAGTTTGGCCGGGGCCAGGTTTGAACCCATCACTCTCGGTATATGGGGCTGGCGCCCTACTCACTGAGCCACAGACACCACCCTGATCCCAGTCTTTCTGCAGACTCTCTTCCAGAGCCCAGAAGAGGGCTGGCAGCTGTATACTTCGGCCCAGGCCCCCGACGGGAAATGCATCTGCACAGCTGTAATTCCTGCGCAGAGTACCTGCTCCCGTGATGGTAGGAGTCGGGAGCTTCGACAACTGATGGAGAAGGTAAGTGGGGTGGGAGGCATGAAAATCTCTCAATTCCAGGGGGAGGGCTGACCCCATGTGAATTATCCAGAGCTGGCTGATAACCTGCTTCCTGCCAGGTAGATACTTTATCCA